AATATTGTCACTAATCCTGCGAATTTCCTCGCTCATAACTGTCCCACCCATTTGTTGAACTCGACAGGACTCGCTCTGGGGCCATGAAATGATGATTCGTGATATGGGTCCTGATGGAGAGTGGTGGCATGATCACAGGAAAGAAGGAAATACACCGAGAACATATGATTCATATCGCCACCCTTGCTTTTGCCCATCGTAACACTCACGGCACTTGGAGAACCATCGTACATGGAGGGCGCGCGCTCTTAGCTCGTGCCTTTGCACTTCCTAACACTCCGTGCCCTCCAATTCATACGCCCAATCTCACTTTACAGACAGACAGAAGCAATTCTCTAGACAGAAGCAACCGGTGGCTTATGGACGCCCGACCGGAGTAGCAGCGATATGGTCGTTATAACATTCTCACTATACGATGATCTTTCGTTCGCATCTTGTTGCTGGGGCCAGCGGAAAAGGAGAAGGGTCCCTTCTGTGGTGTAGCTCAGTTACGGATCCGGTCCTGTTGTTATGAAATTATGTTGGTCATCATCTTCTACCTAGCAGCAGCCGTGTCACTGGGAGTTCGCGGTGACATCGAGATTGATCGATTCGTGTCCGACCCCACTGGAGCTTTAACGGGCATGCATGTCCTTCTCGATGCAGAGGTGACCTATTGCCTGCCTACGCTCGCCTCATCGGCACTCTGATCAGCACAGATCGGATTCTTCTCCACGGAATTCCCTGAGGAAGTCTGTAGCAGTACAGTGCCAGCGTATGCAATAGACGACTCCCAGACCGAGCCGAGGTCCGCGGACTACTTCCGTTACCAGCAATTGCGGTAGTGCCTCCCAGTGCTCGAGCAATCGAGGGATGTCCTTGCTCAGGACGGATCCTGGGCAGGACCCTCAGCAGATTAACCTTTACCAGGGGCCATGCCCACCGTCCCATCCGAATGCCCTGGCTTACTTGGACAGCTCTCTAGCAGGGAGGATGGTGAATAAGTCCTATACGTATGTGTGCCTTACTACAGACTGGGTGCCGGATGGGGGAATGGAACCTCTGCCACATAGTAGAGACCAGGTAGGGACAGGGCAGACTGTTCGACTCGGCCAATGTGCCGTGAATATTATCGCTCTCGAGATTGGCCCACAGATATGTGTCTACGGCGCACGACTGGTCCCTCCGATGCCTGGACGGCGCGGAGGTATATTCTCTAGACAGAAGCAACCGGTGGCTTATGGCTTCGATACGACCTTCTACTTCACCGTGCTCCATGCCTCGCAACACTGTCCAGTGTTGGCCCCGACCAGCGGAGGTCGGCGATGGTGCATGCCGCAGGGGGGCCGAGGCTTCGCCTTCCTAGTGCAGAATGAGGGCAGTCCGCCGACTTTAGATGAGAAGATATCCGCAATGGAGGCTGGTCAACTGGGCTACAGCTTTGCACGCAACCTGGCTGTTGAATTTGATTTCTACCGGGATACGGAAACGGCTGATCCCAGCTGGAATCACATCGCTGTGATGGTCCCTTGGGCGCGGCAACTCAGTGAGGGTGAGACTTTGAACTCGGCTGACCACGCTTCGAATATGCTGGCGGAGGCCACTGGTGACCGTCTCCCTCAGCTCAACAACGGCACGCATGAGGTTAGGATACGATATGACGTCCAGGCAGGGGAGCCGAGGTGGGATAGGGCCTTCACGGGCTGGTCCAGCGACTTCATAGGGGGAAGCCAGCAGCTCAACACACTCGAAAATTGGGCCAATGGTCGTATGGGGGCACTTAGTGTCGAAATCGATGGCCAGGTGGTCATCAATACACTGGTAGACCTTGCTAAGGTGGTACGCGTTGATGATGTGTCAACGTACGAGTATCCTAATGTCACTATGGGAGACGGTGACCCTAGACCTGGTCATGCCTGGGTCGGCTTTGTCGCGACCACTGATCTCGACCATTACGCGGCACCAACAATACTGAGCTGGAAGTTGAAGGCCCACGACAGATGCCCAGGCGGGGATTATGCACGAGTGGTTGTTGGCTCGGCGAGTGGGGAGGATCGTGATGGTCTGGTCTCTGCAGGGGTCGCGGTATGTGATAATGAGTATAGGCCAGCAGACACTCGTCAGACGTGCACTGGCACTATGGGGAACACGTAAGCTCTATTGCCTCTATTGCGAGGTCATGCTCGTGGTCCACCACAGGCACTGCTCTATAATTATCCAGAATACTGGTCGAACCGCGGTGGAGGTCTCTGCTGCGTATACAGATGGTCTCCCATTGAATTTCACCAATTCTCCACGTGTCGCGGTAGACGCTACGCAGACGGTCTCTGTGAAGGCCTTCCGAAGTCGGCCATGCAGTAATGGTCTCCTGGAGTGGGACCAGATCCATCCGTATTTCCTGGGCTGCCAGAAGGAGTTCCGATATACTAATACTCTACAGGCCTTGGTCATCACCAGTCAGGACGGAACCAGGAGTGTCAAGGTCGATGGTGCCCATCTACTCAACATTGCTACTGGAATTGGAACGGTGAGTTATGTTGTAGCAGGAGGTTCCTCCTATGACTGAGTACCCCGGGGTCGATCGTTGTTACTACTATAATATGCAGGAGACTATCTTCCTATGTTCACCGGAGTCATCGAGGGATGTATTTCTTCGCGGTATCATATAAGTCTGCACTACCGAATCATTAGGTTGTTTACAGTAGTTATAGTAACTTCGAAAATTTCAGTGATATGTGCTAATTTCCATTGGCGGTAGCGAGTATGATATTCCATATCAGGTAGCCTTTAAGAAACGTTCCCCCTTCCGTTACTGTGTGATGGAGCATCGACATAATCCTTATCGTCTCTACTTTGCCCAGTGCGACTGCGACTACTGCACGAGGATCTTCGCCATTCAAGACATGTATGCCGTGTTCCACCAAGCTAGTTGCGGGGCTAGGTATGGCTTCACGTGTACCTGTCTGGAGGCCTCTCAAATGACTTGGACCGCGCTGGAATCATCCTATTCGGTGGTTGCCGATCCGTGGAGGCTTATGCCGCCAGTCGGTGGCCTTAGTGAGGGAAGACCACTGTTACAGTATCAGAGGCACTCCGTATGCCGAGGTGAGCGTCGGTGGTGGTCATTGGATTAGAATGATGGACTGTCTCCTGTAGGATGCAAGTATGACACCCATTGTGGGTTCGTGTATAAGGCAGGGGTGTGTAGTACGGCTTACCAAGTGTATAGTATTGGTAACCCGACTACGCCACTAGTAAGGCAAATGTCTTCTCACAGTCCTGTCCTTGCATGCTTCAGGTCACTCCCCAGCCTAGGTTTCTCAACTGGACTCGAGATAATGGTGAAGTGAATGACGGCGAGATCAAGGGTGATTCGTGTGACTGCCTCGATATGGGCGACAACGCGAACCACTTTATCAACCTGCGAGGCCAGATGCAGTCACATGACGTCTTTTTACTCAGAACGCTGCAGCAGTCGAAGGAGGTGAGCTCGTTGTGAGCGACGACCACGTAAGCCTGTCCTGTGTGGTAGGAGTGCTTCGATTGTCTGGCCCTCTACGACGCTGATTTCTGCAAGTACCAGTGCGGCCCACCAACTCGAGCCGCCCTCCTTCACTGGCCCGCTGGGCAGAGCTGTGGAACCTGTATGTTTGCTGGGCCCAAGATGTAAGCCTGTGAACTGGGCCACGACGGTCATGGCGGCTGTCATGTAGGTTGGAGTTGAACTACTATTATAGGAATCAGCTGAAGGAGTGTGCCTACTCGGCAATCAACGCCGGCAGCGACCCTTGGATAGCCTGTCAGGATCTGGCCACGACTTTACCTCCGCTCTTCGAGAACACGACCGAGCTCTTCAATGGTGTTGCCACACACTTTCTCACTGAGTGCCCTGGTCGGGACTTCACTGAGGTTGGGGCGGTTTGTGCTCCCAACATGTTGGCCAGGGACAGCATGCCTTCACAAGTCCTGTCGAGACTCTCTGCCATGAACAACACGGTATGGAACGACGGTCTGGAGTGCATCAACGCAATGTGTGAGCTCGTCAGTAGCAGCAATTGCTACTCCAAGTTGGTGAGGTTGGTCTTCAATAGCACTAATGGTTGCTATGACTCCCTGGGCTCTGGTCTGGGCTGCTATATCATGAACGGTGCTCCGATTGTGGACGACGCGATGATCCTGGATAAGACGCAGAAGCAATGGGCTTATACTGGCCCTTTGCCGGCCTCGTGGGGGCAGCTACAGGACAAGACCATGGAAGTTTGGGTTACTGTGGGCAGCAGTGAGACGGTGACCAATGTTGGGGTCAAGAACGGTACTACTTCGATCACTACCTCTGAGTGGAGCGAGGCCTATGAACCACAGATGGCCGTCGATGGAGATATGGACACCTACTGGTCAAGCCATGTGAGTGATACCTCGGTGTTCGAGGCCGAGTGGGAGGTCCACTTCAACGGCACTATCTATGCTGAGGCCACTGTCATTCATTGGTTCCATCGGGCCTTGGATTTCGACATTGAAACTTCCATGGATGGTGGTCTAACATGGTCCCAGGTAGGAGTCCATGAAAACAATGATCTCAACACTACGACTAGCACGGTGTTCTTCTCGGCAAACGTGTTGCGAATTCGAATGCATCGAGCTGCATTGGTCAGAGGCCCCGGACCAAGTGCCGGTTTGTTCGTATACAGTATAAGAGACGTTGAGGTGAAGCTCGATACCAACATCGCCAGGCTGAAGCCAGTGACCGCGGTGAACAGGTGGAACTATCCCGCGTTATATGCCTTTGATGGTGACCAACGGACATGGTGGAGTGCTAGGCCTGGGCAAGGCTCGGCATGGGTACAAGTGGATCTGGGCCTGGTAAGGAGTCCGGTGACCCTGGTTAAAGTGAGGTTTAGGAAGGGTTATGTTCCCGCTGTGATGGCCTTATCTTACAGCAGTGATGGTTTGATTTGGTCTGCCTTGGCTTGTTCGACCAGCACTTGTGATACAGGTAGGTAGGTCCCTATCGTATTGATAACCCTCTTGACTACCTTCCTCTTCAGCGTCACCTGTCGAGACCATGGACCTACCCTTCGACCATGTCCCTGGCGGTCTGGCCTTCCAGTACCTCAAGATGGACCTATCACAGGGGGCATCATATTACTCCTCGTCAATACTACAAGTGGCTGAAGTGGAGGTTTATGCCTGGACCACGACCAACGTCCTGACCACTCTAGTGTATCCCTCTGAGCTAACCTGTATCAATCAGCGCACGCTCGCATCATGCGGTGATCCCTCATTGGCCGTGGATGATCGTACCGATGCCGAGTTCATCATGGAGTCATCAGATGCCATTGTGATGGACGTCACAACCATCACTGATGGAGGCGTCGCCCTGGGACGGTTCGAGGTCGTTTTTGGTGCGGTCCACCCCGCTCGGGCCTTCGGCTGGCTGGTCTCGACTGACAGTGGCCTTTCCTTCACCGAGATCTACTCCGAGTCCCAAAACCTGCTCAGTAGTCCCGATGCTCTCACGTACATCTCAGACCGTCCAATACATCAAGTGAAGTTCATCATGTATGAGCCACACGCTGATGCAACAGATGCTGGGGTGTTGGAAATTAGAGTCTATAGCCTCACCTCGAACCTAGTTCTTGGTCTGGACCCCACCAGCAACTACCTGGCCGAGGGTACATGGTCAGCTTCGGAGACGGTCGATGGTGATGCGGTGGTCCGGGGAGACCCGATGCATGCAATTGATGGCAATAACGATACGGATTTTCGAGTGCCCTATGGTGCCCGACAGCCATCATACCTCGCTGCAACAGGCGTGTCCGCTACTGGTGCTGTATCGAGCATCACCGATTTCGCATTCGACATCGACTTGGGGGCTACACTAACGGTGGACGTTGTTCACTTGAAGTTCAGCTATCGATCGGCTGCGTTTCGAATACAGTTGAGATGGTCTACGACGAGTTCTTGGTCAGAGACTTGTGAGTGGGCCTCAGCTCTGGGGGATCTAGGGGTTACCAGTACTGAGACGCTCGCTGATTATGCCTGCTTCTCGGGCCGTATAGTGAAGATAGACTCCTTCAACTACTACTACGTGATCCCCATCACAAGCTTCGGCACCTACCATCGTCGGTCGCTGAGAGTAACATTGATGAGGGATAGTATGATGGACCAGGCTGGAGATGACTGGGTAAGCCATCTCTAGCACTAATAGTCGTGATAGACGCTTCCCCTGAGGAATGTATCATAGGCAATCTGCTGAAGGCCACTCCCGTTCCTCCCGTAGAGGCGCCTATACGACTGGTATCGATAGTTGAGTTCTGGTTAGATCATGGGCCTGTCCGCTGTGGAGGTGTATTCGGCGTTCGAGAACATTGCCTTGAAGAGCACTCCCTTGATCTCCCAAATATCCACGCCGTCAGCCGACCCGGCCCTCGCCATCGATGGTCACTTCGACACGTATGACTAGCAAGTACTCTCGGAAACCCCCGGTGTTCAGGTACTGGTACACTACGGTGTCGGCATCCTCCAACCCGACCTATACTCTGGACCTTGGCTCCTGTGTGTACATATCCCAGGTTACGCTATGGTTCGGGGCACAGGCCTACACCTCTACAGAGTTCACTATACAAGGCAGTCCTGATTGCACAGACTACTCGGACCCTGGGCAGACCTATGGACCTGGCAATACCAACCAGGTAGG